AAATTAGTTCCCCACAATGGACCAGTCTCTTGGTGGGAGGAGATACGATCTAATAAAATCTTAAGACATTGATCAATTACATTGATTTACACTAATACACAAATGGAATCCTATGAAAGTCTGACCAGTGCAGGGCTATTTGTCTTGTGACCACTTTAGTTTGTGAGAGATGTTCCCCACTGGACCAGCATAAGAGGATGATAGTTGCGCTGGCTTGTGTTTACTGAGGATCTGTTATAATTTAACCTGATATTTGACTTATGTGTTCCAATAACAGAGGATACTTCAACTGAGCATTATATGAATGAATACATAGAAATATGTAAGTATAAAATGTTAATAATTAGGCAGGAAAATAAACTGCTTGCATTTGGTCAGCAAAACATTAACATGCTATTGCTTTTTAAAAACATTTTCAAACCAATGAATCTTGAATAATAAGTGTTTTTGATTAAATACTTTTTGAATTTAATTTGCCTGGTTTTATGCAATACACGAATGTGCATCCAATACACACAAGTACATGCTTTGGATGCATAAATAAGTAAAGCGTGTCCAAAGGAATGCATAAAGAGTTTAACATTCCACGTAAATATATTAATTAGTTGTAGCAGCGGTTTGAAAATTCCCATTCCTTTCAAATCAATCTGTTTTAGATATGCAATATCTTATCAAAGAAGTGAATCATGTTCTTGTGTAGTATGCCTGGACCCTCATATCTTTCAACAGAACCCTTGAAGTTAATTACTCGGATTCAGGATTCAAGAGGACACCCAGTTTAAGTAACAAACAAAGGTTAAACCCTGTACTTTGTCAGAACTGTTGAGTTATCACATGAAGCCGACCTATCAGTTGTATACCATTGTTAACATGCTTCCAGCGGTGGGTTAAGTCTGTCATGCTGAAGGGTTTGATTCCCCACATGGGTACAATGTGTGAAGCCCATTTCTGGTGTCCTGCTGGAATATTGCTAAAAGCTGTGTTAAAACCAACTCACTCACTCACTCACTCACTCACTCAGAACAACCTACTGGCTTCAGTTCCTAATCAATAATAACACTCCTCAACAACTGAATAAAAAAAAGCAGTGCCATAGAAAACCTTTCAGTCAGCATTTGATTTAGTATTTTTTTAATGTGATATTGGGCTGATATTGTATGTAGTTTCTTCTAGGCTCAGGCTTTAGCCTAATTGCTAACTTCAAAGACTGTGTAATGTATTGCAGATATTCCAAATTCATGGTGAATGCACAGTTTTAGATTGATCCTATTTCTAGGACAATGTTTGTCATCTAAAATGTTCTCTATGATTTTAAAAAATAATTTCATTGTGATATAGAAGAACGACGTATAAAAAGTTCAGAAAATTGTGAAAATGGCCTAATGACATTAGTCTCAAACAAAATCATTAGAAAGACTATTCTAGCAGCCAAAGCTGAAAAAATAAGTATATGTGTTGTAGAGCAAAATGAACATTTAATCACTCAATTTTGTTAACGCTGCTTAATGGTGTTATTAGCAATCAACAAATAATAATTTTCTACTTGCCATAGGATGCGTTAGAACGGGTCCGGCTGATTTCTAACAAGTGGGTGAGGTCTTCTAGTTTAACTGTAAGCTCTCACATTATAACCATCACAACCTAACAGTTTCCTCACCTCTCTTATCTTAATCATGCCAAACTAACAGTACTTTCTTTGATCCTGTGTAAGAATGGCAGCACATCCTGCAGTGGTCATGTTATGTAAGGCACTCTCCAGGGACATTAATGTTTCAGGGTGTTTTAGTGGAGTATCTGTTCTATCTGACACACAGCCAGATGTTATGCAACTTCACTTGACCATATGGCATAATCCAGGGGTCAGTCAGAGGTCAGGGAAGAAGGGAGGTATAAATAGCCCATGTGGTTCGGGCAGTTAACCTATATTGGAATTGTGTAAATACTTGAAGTTCATTGACATATACATGTGGGTTGTGTCTCTAAGTGATTTGGTTAATGCAGTTTGTTTTAGGTTCATTTTGGACAGGAATTTACAGAACTTAAATGTCTGACAATTTGTTTATTTAAAACTTTTTTTTGAATTCGGGATAGTATCTGAAACAGGATAGAGTATGTAGGATGATACACTAAGGTTACAGTTGTATCTAACCTGCTCCACTATATTTGGATTAGATATCATATTAGGAGTCTCGCATCACAATGCTTTGATGCAGCATTCCGTCCCTAGACTGATTACATGAGAAATGTATGTATGTAATTGTAAAATGATAAAAATTTCAAATGTCACTGTCAAACATTATTTCAAGATATTTTGTTATGAAGAAGGTCATTTTTGTGTTAGATTTAATCATTAGATCAAGAATAAAGAAATGTTTTTCTGTTTTCAATTAAATTAAAGTTTTGAAATTTACATAAGCTTGATGCAGAAGTATGTGTCCGAGGTGTTTTTAGTCAATTATTGATTTTAAGATTTCATTTTAAAGTGCATAAATCTGTTTCACTCAAGTATAAAAAAAATATTTTAAAAAAATAGAGATATTTTCATCTTATTTTTTTTAACTCTGTTGAGTGTCTAATTAATGAACTAATTTATGTCCAATTGTGAAGCATTATTTATGAGGAAAATGGTAATTTACTAATTATTTGAATGAGATTTCAATGTTTTTTATTGCTATAAATATCGTGATTATGTAGCACTTCAGATGATGATGATGATGATGATGAAGAAGCAGAATGTGTGCTGCTGTCTACAGTTTGTATTATTTGAAAGAATATGATGGAATACCATGATATTAATTTCATCTGCAGTATTTAACTTGTCATTTTTCATGTAAACTGTCACCACTCATGTCACATGACAAGGCCACAGTGGACATTTGCACACTGGTAATCCCAGCCAGTCTCCATACACCATCCCATTAGCTAGCAACAATATTTACAAAATCAACACCAACTGCGACTCATAGACAGAAAGTAATTTCCTACCAACTGCTCTCATAATAAGATAGCGATTTCCTGTGAACTGCTTCTCTAGGAGACCGAACAAGAGCGGGGATTGAACAGAGAGAATTGACAAGTTGAAATCAGTAAGTGCCAATCAAACCTTTGGTGTGGGGATGAAATAAACACCCTCTTCAGTTTCAAGGATACATGTCAACATGGCTACTGCTTTGATTGCCTTTAATGGAAATTGATCAACTGTGCTGTATGTAACTGGTGTTTGATTGGCAACAAACCATCAGATTTTCATGTTTAGATTTTTAACTCATCCATCAGTTTGATAAAGTGTATTGGTTCAATAATAGTCATATTAATAAAATTGTTGTTATGTGGGACTTTCAAGTTAATATTTGTGCAAGTGTTCAGTTCAATGATTTTCTCTTGCTATGGAATTCCTTTAAGTTTCATTTCTGCTTATTATGTTTAAATATGTGATCACAAATGTTTTTCAAATATTTTGTCCATTTGAAATCTGTTCAAGGATGTTGACCATTAGTGGACACAATTTAGGCCATATTCCAGGCAATTACTTACTGAAAATGCCAGTGTTGACATGGACGGTCATCCATATATTGGTCATTTTGGTTGATAATGAGCTTCACTGGGGGTGTTTTGTGTTGAGGGGTGGGCGAGGCTCGTGCTGTGAAAGGTGGTGGTTGTGTCAACATGCTGGACACACACTGGACAGGTCAGGAGCATGTCCTTTAACCATTACTCCTTGATGAAGCCATTGCCAAGTGCAGTTTGTCATTTGGACCCATTCTATATGGCGTTAGCTGAATTGGATGTTCATCATACTTGAAATTGTCTTTGTAATTTTGAAATTTACATGAACAATTACTGTGGTAACCATGACAACCTAAACCATTTACTTATACATGTATGTTATTTACACTATAAATGATTCTTAATGTTAGTAAAAAGCAAATCTTTATTTTTAATATCAAAGATGTTTTGAAATCAGGGAGATTTGTTGTCCTTGTCACAGCCGATATATTAAAACTTGTTCATGGAGCTTTTTGATTTAATACTGTTAGCAAAGATTTCAAGGACATCACCATCCTCTTAATTTTAAATGATACAAATATGCTTCTATGAATATTTGAGCAACTGCTTTATACATATATCAGTGATATATGAAGAATATGAAAACCTCTGAGGGCTTCTTCAAGAGATTAAATACTAATAAACAGGAACCATGGTAACAATCTTATCTGCCATTTTTCTAATCAAGCTTAAAGTGGGATCCCATTACGTTTGATATTTTTCTAGATTTACCGAAATAGGATGTATCTTACTTAGAATAGTCTTCACAATATTTTTTGTGTCTATGGAGGTATAAATGTAAAAATGAACATGCTGTGTAAATCATCACAACAGATTTACGCAAAGCGCACACCGTTTTTTACTTTTATAACATGATAAATGCAAAAACATGCTTAAGTAAATTATTATAAATACTAGTCAGTCCTCAGTATAATCTTCACACGTATCGACTACTGTGTCCTTATTCAAAAATTAACACACAAAACTGAAGACAACACAATTGTTTCAGTGACATCATTCAGCGCAATAGTGAGACACAAGCACCGCCCATTCTGTTATCAACCAATAAGGACACAGTAGTCTGTAAGTGGGCATGATCTGAGTTTCTTTTGGTTTATAACATAAAAAGATTTGCTTATCGAGCAAACCAAAATTATTTTATCATTGTCACAACCTTCAGACTCCAAATCTCGAAACATGCTTATTGTGTGAACCCATACATTTCATATTACTTTAGATTTGCCAGAACAGGATGTTTCTTACAGAATACAAGGTATTATTTCTTCTGTCTTCTTATCTTTCTTTTTTTTCTATCTGCGTGGTCCCAGACCTGAGCTTTGTCAGTATGGATGCTTTACCATGTTGTTATGCTGATCAAGTACTCTTGAGAGCCTGGGTGGCATACTGTTCTGAGGATTCACCAACAACTTCTAACGTTTCCTTGTATGTTTCAGGTTTGACCGCTGCTCAGCTGACCTTTTCTAGGACGGACAGTGGCCCTACTGGTAGTCTCCGATTGCCTCAGTGTCTTCACAACAACTCCGGATTTCTGACCTTACAAGTATGTGTGTATTTTCTTAATTTTACGTGTCAAAAGAATATGTGATCCTGATGGATTATGCTTTTTTCCTGTTTTTCCAAACCGTTAATGTCATTTGTTGGAAAAGAATTGTGCTTACTGACAGACAGATCGTTCTTTGAGTGCCCATTATTGTTGTCAGATCTGCATAATGACTTAACCTAATTATGACAGTAAACTGCTAAATCAAAATAGTCCTTGTGGTTTTTATCTCTTTGTATAGGTTCTGATTTAAACATAAGGGGAAGATGAGGTATGTGATCAGGTTTTGAACATTCTAGAAAGTGTACAGCTGTATCTTGGCAATCTTCAAAGTTCATCACCAAGCCGTTCAATACCTATGACTACTTTACCTCTATGGGGAGGTTAAGTTTTGTCTGTGTTCACACTTAAGCCTAAAGTCAAGGTTCATGTTGTTGCCCTAATGATAGGAGTTATAGATTAGGGGGTCTCTAGATTTTATTATTATTTTATAATTTTGAACACTGCATAGCAAAATGTTTGTGGAATGAGATCTTGGCTGACACAGGTGAACCAGTGGTTGATAGTGTGAGTGTCTCAATAAATCAACCAACCAGCTTGTTAGTGTTTCCAGGTGTTCACCCACAGAGGTTCTATCTGTTCTTGTAAGACTCTTGCAGAGAAAGCTTCAGGTTCTATAGCCCTAGACAACCATGATGTGCTGAGGCATATATAGCCCCTGATTGTGTTTCTAGGTTTGTCACAACCGTAACCGTTCTTGTTGGTTTTGCCAAAGTGGTAAACATCTGAGATCTGCATCACTTTGGGCTTCCTCCCACATTAAGCTGACATGCAGTGATATAACAGAAATACTGTTCAAAGCGGCATTAAACCCACCTTACTCACTCACAAATTCTGCCATGGAATACCCAAATGCATTGTTTATAGGAAACATTCTTGGGGTTGTCTGGTATCTTGTTATCTCATATAAACCTAAGTTGATGGGTTTGCTGGGGTAGCCTAGTGGTTAAAGCATCAGCTTGACATACTAAAGACCTGGTTTAATTCTCCACATGGGTATAATGTGTGAAGCCCATTCCCCCCAAAAGATATGACTGCAATGTTGCTAAAAGTAGCATTTTAATAATTTAGACCCTTTTCACTTTGATTTCATCTTTTAACTTTTAAAATGATGATTGTTTTCACTGATGTATTCTCTCCTTCAGAAAGTCCATGATTCAAAGAAGCCTAAACCAGTCAAATGGTCTTCCTGTTTGTTTCTGATTATATATTACACTTATGGATCCTGTGTAGGGACAGTAGCAGACAGGCACCAATGATCCTATCACACTGCTCATCACTGGACCATTGCCACCAGTATGCTACAGGCATTTACATTTCAATGTACACAATGGTATATATTGCACATAAATCATGGTTGAATTAATCTGAAAGCATATCTCATCAGATCGATTTCAACATGGAACACGCCTGAATAGCTTATCTGTTTAACAATGAGACATATTTCACTAGCCACAATACTCCTCCAGCATGATTAACACTTTAACAGGTCAACTAAATACCACCAATCTGTGTGGCTCAGGGTCTCACTGCAGCAGGTTCCCCAATATTTATTTGGGGCTGACCATTTTATATATGGGGGAAGTTAGGGGATGTTTTTGAAAAACATAGTTTGTATTCAGGTTTTGCATACATATATACATCATTCACTGTACAATCTTGATGTTCTAAAAAATAATGTGTTGTTTAATTAAATAAAAACCTGTTTGAAATTTTGTTTTGTTTTGAAGCAAACACAATCTCAGACCCTCCCCTAGAATATTAAATGGTAGGACCCTTGCTCTATTTACATTAGTGATGAGACTAAATACCGACATTGATCATACACACATGTGCCAATGAGTAAACATTTTATCCCTGTATTGATTGTACATCAATCCATCGGTTTGAATATGTAGGATATTGGCGACTCCCTTTTCATGAGAATGTGCACGTGTGATATTGAAACTTCTCATGCATGTGAGTACATGTCACCAAATAAACACGTTCATGTGATTAGCTTGTTTGCTCTTGTCCATGTTAATCTCTGCTGTGGACATTGAAAGCTTATGAATATGGAGGAAAAGATTAACACTTGAGACTACCAGGACCCTATCTTGAAGTAAGGACACAAACTGTATATGAGTATATTTGTCCTTTACAGTTCACTGAGGTGTCAAAGTAGAAACCTGCATACATATGATTGTGTGTTTGTAGATTTAATGTCAGTGCCTTTGCTTGATAAAACAAGTACTGCTTAAAGTTTCTTAAGATCTTTGATATCTTTATGAAAAACAAATTATAAACGAAATGGCAGAAGACTTGTTGTTCAGGCTTTTAAGTGACACTTTGATATAATCATGTAAATACTATAGTTACATTTCTACATGTTTTGTGAAAGGTTAGTACTGATTATTCTATTGAAGGAATTCTTCTTCAGCTGTTTATATGTATAAATGCAGTGTACCATATAGAGAGATCCATATCACAAGAAAATCTACCCAAATCTCAACCACCATATATACTTTAAGTACTTTGTTGCTGTGGGATTAAGTCTTGAGTTATGAGTTATGCTTGAGGGAAAACAAGAAGAGAAATGTTGTTTGAATGGTTCAAACATATGTGCAACAAAATCACATGTAATACAAGACTAAAAATGTGTTGACTTGCAATTGTGTAATTGTACTCCTCAGGAAGAAAAGGGAAACTTTAAAGGAAAACATTTAACTACTGATCTTTAGATTAAGAAGATAAGGAAAGCCTCACGAAGCAACTTGTGTTGGCTACTGTAGGAACTACAGTGTTGTGTAGCATCTTAATTTTGGTAATAAATTACTTAATTTAGAAAACTGACCTGCCAGAAGCCTTCAGAACCCAATAGGAGGTGGAACAGTTTGGCTTTGATGTTCCTTAGAATGCTTGCTTGAGGTGGGCAGATTTGTATTCAAATGTGTGATAATGTTGACAAAATATCCATTGCATTGAAAATGTGCAAATTAAAGAAAGGAATGATCACAGATTGGAAACTACTGTTAAAATGCATCTTGAAATATTTGGGTACAATTTGCATGGATATAATGCATTTGAATAACTCAGTAAACACAGCTCTTAGCAGGATCAGTTTTGATCATTCTCAATGTACACTTGGGTGATCTTAGAACCGATTATTGGTTTTAGTTTTTAGTTGTTACTTCAAGTTTTGGAGTAGTGAAAGATAAAACTTTGAAAAACATACAAAATTAACTGTAAACTTTTTAATGAATAATTGATCAGATGCAATTTGTGTTGACATATAGCTATTTTGAAAAGAGAACAGGGCCTTCTCAGAAGTATACACATACTTATTACTGTGTTAACACTAAATATCCTGTTCTTTAAAACATACTATCTAGAGGACACTATGTAGAATAGTCAATGTGGTAATATATACAAGCATACAATCTAGAGGATAATATATACAATAGTCGGTGTTGTAATATATACAAGCATACAATCTGAAGGACAATATGTAGAATGGATATCCTAGTGAAATATGTGAATATTGTTGTTTCCATTCATTTTACTTTTTCCTGCCTACTTGGAGCAGTGTGAACTATCACTTGTGTGGCCTCATGGTCCATTAGATGAGTAAACACACTGAGTAAACATGGCCAACTGCCATATCAACATCACAAATAAACATAAGTACCTTTCAGGACAGCTGGCCCACTCAAAAATAATTAACCTGACATATTGTGACATCTTATTTTGTGTAAAAATAATCAAGTCATTAATTCTAAATGTTAAATCTTTTTGTTGTCATTGATGCTAAAATATTAGACACCAAAACCAGGAGTTTCCATCATGTGAATGTGCATGTATTTCAGACTCTTGATGATCAGGAGATCAGGAAGGCTTTCAGAGATATAGAAATACATAGCTTTTGACTTTTGACTTTTGACTTTCTTGCCCCTCAGAGCCTCTGTAATATACATGTGTTTCTCCTGAAGGGAGGCACTTAACAGGGATGGAACTGACTACAAGCACCTTGTGGAAGTCTTCTAATGGGCTAGGCACTGGTGGTTCACACTTGGTGCTGTGTTTTGGAGATTTATCTCCTGACGAGAAACATGATTCATGTTCAGTTTGGGGCATTTTAAAGAATTTTGTTTTACGGAGCCTGTGAGATGAATATGTATTAGGTTATCATATTATTATATCATATGTAAGATGTTAGATGGGCCTGTGTCCAACGGTGTTCAGAAGGGAAGTGTGGAAATGTTGGGTACAGGGGTCTGGAAACGGGCATATGCGCCGGACATGTCCGACTGGGAATCTCAAATGTCCGTTTTAAAAGATTGCTTATCAGACATTTAATTTTTTTTGTCCGGACATTTTAAAAAACAAACAACGCTACCTTCAGGGTCCAAATAATTGATGAGCGTTATCGTATCCCTTCAGCAAATTCAGGTGAATAAACAGGTATAACAAACTTGGTCAATAAAAGTATGAAATTTGATATAAAACATCACTAGTTATGATGATTTACCGTTTGAAATGTATTTCCTGCTCTCCAAGGCATTGTTTTATATGCAGAGATTAAGATTACCATGTGTATTTTCTTGTAAACTAAGCCGGAAATAGCAATCAGCTGTGCACACGTTTCCTCCCAGTTAAAACGTACCCAATGATACAACTTCAAAGAATTTTGATGCTATGGTCGGAAGAAATTGTATCTGAAATTATTATTTTATCCGCAATATTTATATTCCAATATCCTGTTATTTTAGTTGCAGTTTCCACCATATATACTTAAAATTATAAGAACGATAAGCGTAGCACTTGGCACAGATGGTATGCAGAATATTTTTTTACGTATGTAACGATTTTGACCAGTCACCGTAGGGACTTCCGGCGCAACATGTATTTCGATTGCGAAAACTTCAATAGCGGTAATCTGATTGTGGTTGCTGTAAATAACG